CAGCAAATGATACTCTATCACCTTGCATAAAAATATCCATTCAAAACGAAAAAAAGCTTTTTTTGAAAAATTGCCATAGAAGACTGGCTTATAAGAAAAATTTGAGTAGGGATGACTCTAACATTGAAACTAAACATATATCTGTAGAATACTCGAATAATTATGATAAGAATTAGCATTATCCTAATACTAATTTAAGACTAATGCTAAAGCATTGAATTAATTTTTTAATTCTAATGCAAAGTATTAAAATTATTTTTTTAATTCTAATACAAAAGCATTAGCATTTTCCTAATACTAATACTAAGCCGACACCCCTAATATACACGTTATCAACAATAATTGATCTAATCGACCATCGAATTATAGAAAATCAAGCAAATTCTGGAAAATTGAGCAATTGAAAACATTAAAAGGAATTCCAACACAATCACTGACATCCACAGTTAAACACTAAATTTCTGAAATTCCTGTAAATTTCCTTGAATTTTCAGATTTCTTTGAATTTCATGGTACTTTCAAAGTGTATAACATAAAGTTAAATGTTGATGTTAATTTGTTGACTTTCTTTGAGTTGCCAATGCTAAGATTCTATAGGTACTGTTCTAGTCTACTCATGAAAAGTTCCAGATAGGTTTGATGAGTTAAATGAATTATCATCGTTGAACTAACTTATTCAATAAACCATATTTAATAAAAATTATTTACAATAAGGTTATCCGATGAATGTGCCATGCGAATACGAATTTTAGACCAAATCAAGTCTATTTTTCATCTCAATGAAACAATATGATTATTAATGAAATTTTTAGATGAAAGCTAATTTTTAATGATATTCGCGAGTGCTTCCAATCTCTTTTATTAACTGAATACTTTTTGAAAATAAATGAGATATTTGCATTTATTATATCTGGAATGATTTGAGATACAAAGTTCTGTGATAGAATACCGAAAAATATATTTTTCAATATTTCAGAATATTTCATGCGTAAACATTTGAGCTGCGATAAAGTAGAAATTGAATTTATGAAGTGTTCTCGAATCGAATGATAATTCTCACTGTGTTAGTATAAGATTAATATCTCATAACAAACAAATGGAGCAATAATCGCCTATTTAATACTTTATCGTGTCATAATGCATGAAGTCTTCGTCATTTGTTCAAATCAGATATACTTTATTTCACTTCACTTTTCGAATAGAGTAGATAAACTTTGCTTCATTCATTAAAGTAAAATACATTTAACATGAAAAAATTGAAATATTTTACTTTATTAAAGTAAAATAAACTTGAAGTGCTGCTTCTACTAAGTAGGTTAAGCAAAAAGCTCGCGGTCATTTGCAAAAAAAATTCTTTTTTATGTATAAATTTATTTAAAACCAATAACAATTATTCTTTAAAGTACAATCCATTATTTTCAATGACCATACGCCAGCGTTCTGCAAATTGTCGAATCTGATCTTGATACCAGTGCAACTCCTTGGACTCAAAGAATTCATGGCACGCTACTTCAACTTGATCAAAAGTTTCAAATCGTCGTCCTTGCAAAAAGTGCTCCATTGAACTAAACAAGCCATAGTCAGAAGGAGCAAGGTCAGGACTGTAAGCCGGATGCGGTAAGACCTCTACACCATCGAGTTTATCGAATTTTTGTATGTGACAGCGAACGTTTTGCTCAATCTAGTACTTCGACATCCATAAGATCATGCTTATCCATACATATCCTATCCAGCTACATTCATATCCATACATCCTAGTTTTCCATTCGAATTTTAGGCAATATCCTCTCCACCCTCTTCATTCTCACATTATAGACCTCAGCAAGTGCACAAAAGGTTACAGATTCTATATAACATTTAAATGTTTTCATAAATATTCGCGAAAAAGCTACTTTTCAGCTTTAAAAGCAGTCATCAGAACAATAATTCTAAAGAATATATGTGAGTTCCACATTTCAACTTCTTTGGAAGTACTTTATCAAAATTATTTTTAGGAAAACATCGTAAAGATTGACATCTACACAAGCTAGAATGGTACTTGATAATCTTTATTTATTTTGAAAAATCTTAACTGAACTGTTTTTTTCAATAGTAATGAAGATGGAGAGAAAATGTTTCTTTCTTAAATAGTCCATAATTAATAGGATATTAATTGTTATATTGTTAAATACTCATTAGAACATCAACGCTAATAACATTTGTTGAGATTGGGTTGAGTAGCCAATATGATATTGTGTATATATTACCGATTGTGGTTACAAATGTTTGACTAAGATAATCGGGATTTCCTACAGCTCCATCAAAATAAAAGTCTGAACCAGATTTAGGCATATATCTATAATTATTCTGATCATAAACATTTCCTGTTGCTATTTCTCCAGAAAAATTTGCATTAAATGGATTACAATAGATCCATGGTGTCACTGTGTTTGTCTCAAAATCACCATTGACAATAAGTTGAGTATTAGGTGCTGCATTATTCCATATAGATATATTATCCAGTCCAAAAAAGTGCAAATCATTACGTAATGCAAATGTAATTCGTGTTACATTAGCAATAGCTGTATATGTATATGTGTATTGTCCGTACTGACTGCTAGAAGGACAACTGTTATAGCAATGATAAAGTAATGTAATACTATTCCAATTTGATGTGCATGCATTCGATGTAACCGCTTAAATAAAGATGAATCAAATATTTGTTGTTTGAACTACTAATCTAAAGTAACTTACTGATAGTTGATGCGGTTGTTGTAGTGCTACTAGCTAAATATGACAAAAAAAGTTAAAGTTGATCAATCACTTAGAGAATATCAAAAGAGATATGAATAGCATTTGAATGGAAGTGGCTATGTACACTCAAATACATATAGCCGTGTGACTATGTACACTCGAGTGTACAAAGTCGTGTGGCTATGCGTACTCATTTGGAGGGGGATCAGTCATTTAATTGATGATGGCATATCCATGTAATAGAGTTGAATGAACAAAATGAGCGTAGGTTGGATATGGATGAAGAGATGAGATGCTGATAGAAGGAATGAGGAGTTGAATCACGTGAGGGTGTCAGTGAGTGAATGTACGTGCAGAAAAATTAGTTCTAGTGTATGAGTGAGCGTGTGGAGATGATTCCTGAGGTGTATGGAACGGAAATATCCGTGTTGCCCTTCTCATTCTCATTCGAAATCGTTCCAATATCCTATTTTGTGCCATGTTCATTTCCCAAACTTTTCTCAGCCGCTCATTGTCCCCCTTCATTGTCCACACCGTACTCTATTTGTACTGCAGCTTTCATCAAAACCCCACTTTCAATTAATTTGTTTTCTCTGCCCCCCCCCCCAAATGAGTGCACATAGCCACGCGGCTCTGTGTACTTGAGTGTACATAGCCACTTCCCATTTAAATACTGTATAGTTAGATTAAAGAAACTTTTTTTCTGTATGGTATAATAGAGCGAGAAGAGTCTTATCTCTCTATGTTATTCGATCCTTCTTCAAATAATATAATGATAGTTGAGTTATTAACTTTTATGAGAACAATGAAAAAAAGCTAATCTTGTTGAAAAAGTTGGTGTTTTTTTTCCTATAAAAAATCAATTTTTCGACATTTTTTTGAGATTTTCCAAGTAGTTTTTTGAATTTTTTATTACAAAAAGATGCAGCTTTGTAGAACTCGACGAGTTCTATTGAACCATGTAAAAATATTCAAGAAAATAGTTTTACTCCATATTTGAGTAAATAACATTTAATTTTCTGGGCCAATAAAAAGTATAAAACTTTTTAAACTACCTTAACTGTGACATAAAAAGATGTGTATAACTTTTACTATATAGTACCAATAGAACCGATTTTTGATGAGCTTTAATTTGGTATAAAATATTTTCGTAAATTTTTTCAATAATTGAAATTTTTCACAAAAGACTGAGTATATTAAACTTAAATGATAGTCCGAGCCAGATTGGTCTAACTCAAACATGGTCCGCCCGGTTAAACAATATATAGCTATGCACCGGTCGGACTTCAAAAAAAGTTTCGCTGGGCCAAATCCTGTAGCCTATATAGAGTCCTACTTCATAATGACTGACTCATAGAATTCACATAGCATAATAGAGCTTCGGCTCACTTGTTGTTGTTACTGTTTTAGTTGTAGTCGTAGTTGAGCTCGATGATGTTGTTGATGATGAAATGGTGCTAGTCGTGCTAGTTGTGCTAGTCGTACTAGTCTTGCTAGTCGTACTAGTCGTGCCAGTTGTGCTAGTCGTACTAGTCGTGCTGGTCGTACTAGTTGTACTAGTCGTGCCAGTTGTGCTAGTCGTACTAGT